GTTCTCTACTGAGGGCCGAGAGGTCGACCTGGCACCTAAAAACAAATGTTTTGAATTAGCAAGTGGCTTTTTTTTTTTTTTTGCCACATCAAACAGTGGAAGTGCAGGCTGCTCAGAGCTATGTGAAAAGTAAATCAATAGAAATACTATTTGGACCCCTGGAAGAATACATCTTTCATGTCGGATTTCTTCACAAAATTCAAACCCTGATTATTTTAGTGTCTAATTGCTTATTTCTTGTAAGATACACACAAAAAAATACTTATCTGATTCTATTACTACCCATTGTAACCAGATTCATAAATCGACAGGGACTTCCAATCCCTGGACAGTCTACGCCAGTGGGGCTCTGCTTACTGAAGGACTTCCATGAGCTACTGAGAGTCTGAATTTTTCTGTCACTTTTGAACCAATGAGTGTTTTCCCCTTATTCATAAATGTTATTAAGCAGTGAATAGAATATGCATGCTGATGATGCCATAAGTTTTACATTTTTAAAACCAAGCCAATTTATTTATAAAGCACTCACAAATTCAAATAAGAATCAAACAAGTCCTCTGAAAACATTATAGCTTGAGTGTTATATACCAGAATTGTCCTGAGAGCTTTCATAGTATGGTAGCCCATGATCGACATGTTACTCTCTCAGAGCTATCTATACACCTTGCAAACTCCTTTCATGAAAATATCAATCGATTTGGAAGAAAAAGACACTATGGAAACCACAAGGCCAGTAAACTGAAAGTAAGAGGGCAGCTGTGAATAGAAGGCATTTAAAACAGGAAAGAGCCAATTACAAGAGTGAATGTAGTAACATATCATAAACAGGGACAGATTTAATTTTTGCTCCTTCTTATTTTTCACTCTACTTATTGTTTATTGTTTTGCTTTTAAATTCAACTCCTATGACCAGAGCCTCAAAGCTAATAGTTGGGCTCAATCATCTCTTTAGCATGAGTGATTTTAGGAACTGAACCAAAGTTTGACATTTACCTTTTATTTTTGCCTATCAAAAATGACATGAGAGATAGCTGGGTTTAGAAACAACTGGGAGGAATATAGATGCAAAAAATATGAAAAAGAAAAGAAATGCCCTGGTCAGTGACAGAAAATGTGTGGGTGCTAAATCTAACTCATGAGAGAGCAGGAAATTAAAGTCTGTTTCAAGTCTGGAAAACATCTTCTTAAAGTTAGAGTGTATATCAAATAACCTCATTGTTTCTGCGAATACAACATCCATTTCAAAGCATCCATTCTCATGCTTTCTCCTTAAGCTCTAAGGGTTGCAAAAACATGTCAAATGCCTTATCTAACATTCTATTTTCAATTGGAATTAAGTTTTTGTCAATAACCCTGGAACAAATTGAGGATAAAAAAAAATCCAATGGTGAAAAACAACCAATCAAGTGCATTATCTAATAAAAAGGAAAACTATCAGTATGATTTTCTATAGATCTTTCCAGCATCTGGCACAATGCCGAACCTATAGTTTGTTGAACGTGAATGAATCTTTGTGGACTAGCTTGGGAGTATGATACTAGAGAACTGAACAGGGATTACAATTCAGATCATACTTTTGGTTGGATAAAGTTGGGACCTTTATCCCCAACTTATGGGAAAGAAGGGTCTCTCCCTCACTTTGATTATGCATTTCCCAGGCCCGACCACCCTTGTTCTTATTCTTTGGCATAACACTGCATCTCTCTTAAAACACTAAAACACAGTGAAGCCTTCTGGACAATTTCCTTCTATGCCTATTAACATTTCATACTGGTCATATAGATGCTGGGCTACTCCTCATTTATATTAGAGTTACTGGATTTAAGGCTTTAGAGTGGGGGAAGATGCTCTACAGATGAAGTGGTCCAGGCAGTGGCAATTTTCAGATCAAATATGGTCTGTGGATTTGTTGATTTTCTTTGTAGTGTTAAAAAAAGAAGTTTTGAGTTTAAGTAATTTGAAAGACAGAGTAAATGTCCTCTGACTTAGCTACTGTCCCCAAAACGTCCATTACAGTATGTCAAGGTGGCCTACTTCATTTAATTCTGTACCTGGTTTCAATAGGCATAAGGATTTGTGATCCTCCCAACCTCCTTGATTTACCAATGAGAAAACTGAGGGCCAAAGAAGTTACATGAGTTAATGGAGATACGCAATTCATTATTAGCAGAGCCAGGACCTGAACTTCGGACTCTGGAATCCGTAGGCTGTTTTCTTGACCAGACTGTCACTAAAAAATAATGCATCACAGGAGGGAGTGTGCGCTGGTTCTTAAACTGGGTAATGTTTGGATTTGGTTTCAATAGAAAAGTTATCTCAGTTTTAAAGTACAGAATGATGTTACTTTTATTTTTATGGTTTAAATACACACACACACATGCACATGAACTAGGAAAGAAGGGTTTAAGTTATTGCTCTTAAAAGATGGTAAACTAAGAAAACTGTATAAATTGAATTTAAAAAACTCAGAAACTAATAAAATTTAAAATAACATTATAAATTTATAGGGAGGATCATGCTACAACTAAATTTTCAATATTGAGTATACTCATACAAATAATCTTAGGTGCTGTCCTATATTTAATGTTTCAGAATTTTGACTCTAAAATTTCTAATGTAAAATACTTATTTATATAAATATATTGGACAGGAGAGTATTAATGAATTTAAGGCTCTTCTTAATAATTGAGGTTATTCCGATCTGTTCATCTAAAAACTCTGCTCAGGAGTAACCCTGAGATTCCATTTTTAATGAAATGTCACCTGAAAACTAAGTGAAATTGTCTTGTTAACTTGAGGCTAAAGTTAGCATTACAGTATCACTGTTATCTGCTTTAAATGAGTATCAAATCATTTTTGGAATTTGGTAGAGAAAAAGCCTTTGCTACCACTTTGTTGATATTGAATAAATACATACAAAGATGGAACTCCTACAATGCAACCTGTTGCAAAGTGAATTCAGTACTAATTGCTATGGGTCTGTGCTATGATTTGAATGTCTGTGTGCTCCAAAATTCATATGTTGAAACCTAATGGCCAATGTGGCAGTGTTAAGAGGTAGGGCCTTTACGAGGTGACTAGGTTATGAGGGTGGAGCCCTCATGAATGGGATTAGTGCCCAATAAAAGGCCTGAACGTGATCCCTCACCCCCTCTGCCATGTGAGGACACAGAGAAAAGATGGTAGTATATGTACCAGGAAATCAGACACTGAATCTGCTGGCATCTTGATCTTGGACTTCTCAGCCTCCAGAAATGTGAGAAATAAATTTCTGTTGTTTTTAAGCTACCCAATCTATGGCATTTTGTTATAGCAGCCTGACTGTCAGATTCACCTGTATTTGTCTTGCCTGTATTGTTACAACCTGCGATAGGAAGAACTCATTATAGTTTGGATACAGAAGTACTAGGTGATCATCTAGATGGTTCAGAATTGACATAAATTAATGGTTTTATAGTGTTATCAAAATGAAAATGCAAAATTATAAAAGTATTGAAGCAAATTCATAAACTCCAAAAATACATGCACAGATACATATACAGGGAACAGAGCCCAGGATTAGGAGTCAGATCGCCTTGGTTCTACCCCTCCATCTGTCACTAATTAGTTGTATGACCTTTCCTAAGACAACTTGTCTCTTGAATTTCAGTTTTCTCATCTGCAATATGAGGTAACTGAACTAGAACAACTTCAAATTCTCAAAACACCCAAATTCCACAATTTGTTATAACTCTATCCATGTTCACGTTTATTTACATCTTCCTTTCTTTACAATTCCACAAACCAAAAGACTAAGGGAACAAATTTATTTTATAGGCAATGAAATGTTATTACTCCCACCACCAAAACTCTGAATGTTGGTGCTAGAAGGCAGATAATCTAATTTCAAATTGTCTTCCAAGAAGCACTAGGGGTGTGCCTTAAAGGTCACAATCTGTGTGTGTGTGTGTGTGTGTGTGTGTGTGTGTGTGTGTGTGAAAATGGGGTGTGGACCCTCCTCTTTGGATCAAAGAACAGCTCCTCTTATATCTGCTTTATACTGGGATCCACATGCATGGTTTGAAAACTTCTCACATCTTATACAGCTCCTTAGATTCTCCTGGAACCATGGCCTACTGGGTCCTCTGTTGCCTACTATGCCTCAGCTTTGACTTTGGCTGTGCCTTTCCATGGGGCTGCCCTTTGATTAATCAACCGTGCTTGTGTTCTCATGGGTCTTTCACTGAGAACTGGCCGAACTTTCACTTGCCCAAATGGGCTGGGTACTCTCCCTGGCTGCCACTGTGCATCTAGGCCTAACTGCCACATGCCCCAAATTTCTGGTTTCTAAGGTCACTTCTGCACTTGGATGAAAAGTCACACTGTGGGGTGTGGGATCTGGCTCTCTGGTCAATTGCTAAAGAAGCCAGATGAAATAACGCAGAAGTTGTCTCCTTATGGGGTGAACTTAGATGGATGGAATAGGAGATGGGGAGATAACTCCCTACACCTTCTTCGTTCTTATGAACTGTCCCAAAGCATGATTCTCCATGTTGCCTGTCCACATGTGGCCAAGTTGTTGCGCCTGCTGAGCAATCAGCTATGTCTCTGAAACACAGGAAACAGCCCCATAACATATCACCTTACATTGCTTCCTAGCCTTCTCTGCCTCATGTCCTCTCTCACTCTCTTTCATTCTCAGGGTCTGGGATTGGACCTCCCAATAAAACATCAGCACTTAATCATTGCCTCAAGCTCTGTTTCCTAGGGAACCTGGGCTAAGGCAAAAACCATTGATACAATTCAGTCCCCTTAATTACAGATGTCTAAAACATGAACCTGACTGTGTTCCTCCTCTGACTTCCCACCACCTATGAAATATCCTTAGTAAGGCAACAGTGCTCTCCACACCCACCATCAGCTTGTGTGTCACTTGCTGACTCACAGTTACTACATAAGTCATTCCAGACAGCTTGTAATTCTTTCCCATCCATGCTAGGGCTCAACTGTTTCTTAGTGTTTGGACAAGGCAACCCCTCTGCCTGAGATGATGACT